TTTTTTCTGGTTTTTGTATATTTGTTGAAATTCCAGATAGCTCAATGTGTCGTCTGTTCTCATACAATTCTTGATGGCAATTGACATTTTTATATTAATTTTCTTTTTAGAATCCATTCATTTTTTTATGGACTCAAGGTAATGAAATAAAACCATCTTCCATAATTGCTATTTTTAGTAACTCCATAGTAAATCGCAAAGATACTCGAGGTCAAAGAGTACGAAAACTAAGAAGAAATCAACGTCATGATCCAGAAATAATCCATTTCAAGGTTGTTTACTGCATCATTTACTGCAGTTAAAAGAACATTTAAAAAGCCAACGTAAACAATTTGCTTTTTACCCTGTGTTGAATATCTATCTTTTTTTAAAATTTATTATTAAAACGTGATGCTCAAAATTAATGTCAATGTCATGTTTAGCTTCGATTTGTTTTGCTCTCTTTTGTTGTTTTTTTTTTATTTTTGTAAGTTTAAGGAGTTAAAGGTAAAGCTTCCAAGTAAAACAATTTAGAGATGTGTAAAAAATGGAGTTGAAATTCCAATACAGTAAGGTAGTCAGGAAAAGAACGCCAAGGTGCGCCGTTACATTCATAGTGTGAATGTTCTGTCGGAATGTTGAATGTAGACCATCACCACCAATAAATATCCAAATTTTGCAGTTTTATTCTTTCTACCTTAGAAATGAAATCATATTAATTACCTTCAGTAATCTTCAAATCACGGTTTAAAACACGTTGGTAATATCAGCCGTTTCCTTACAAGGAAACATTCAGCGTTCATTGACCGTCGGTTGAAATTTATAAAATCTTTCTTTTAAAACAGTTTTTCAGAAAAGTAGGTATTTCAAGTCCAGTAGCTGTTATCGCTCTTTCCAGTATTGATGAGGGTCTCCTTCCTAACCTTTTATTTGAAGTAGTGTGGAATGTCAACAGCTTGATTATGTCATTATTTTCTCTTCGAGTTACATGTGCTATCCTTTTTAGTTGTTGCTGCTGTTGGTAGTCCTCAAGTGAGGTGATTTCTGTTATTTGGTACAGTTCTTTGTTTGTGAATCTGTTGCGCCAGTCCACAATGTTCAAAGAAGGATGATCTTTGCCAAGACCCTGAGGAGTTGCACTCAAAGGACATAGGATTATTTCAAGTAGTCACTAATAATTCATATTTAACTTTTTAAATTTTTTTTTTGTGTGATAACTCATTTTTTAAGTAGTCAAGTTATTCTTGTTCTTCAATTCAAAGAAATCATAGCGAAAAAATGTGCTCTCAATTTTTTCGTTTGTAAGATTGCAACTTGCAATGGATCAGTCGTCCTTTTGTAGTGTTGAATTCAACGAATATTGTTTATTAGCGCGAGTATATTTATATTTTAGTAAATCAATAATATCAAATATTCGTTGTTTGTTTCACGTTTTGAATAAAACTGATGCGATTTTTCAGAAGTATGGTTCTGGTCAAAACTATTTTTAAATAATAGTCTTCACGCAATAGCTGCAACTGATCCGAATTGTCTTCTGAACTAGGTTTCAAACATTCTGGTCAATCCGTCGAACGAATTCATAACTTCCCGAGTATCTGCTTCATCCGGTTGTCATATTTCGATGCCAATCGTGCCTAGTGAATCTTAACTGCAGGCTTTCCTCCTCGGGCATAGACGCTAGAGAAAACCAGAAACATTTGTGAGAGAGAAGAAGAAATGTCCTAGCTTTTGTTATAGAAGCCTGTGACGTCAGACATGCTATGACAGAGGCCAAGTTAAGTGAGCACAAATCCTACCTGATCTCTCAGTTCTTATTAGCATTTTAGTTTTCTGCAAGCAGAGATATGATTTTGATTTTTTTCATTTCCATTTCTTCCTTTCGAAACCATTTTTTTTCTCGTTTTCTTTCTTTCGTTCCCTTGTATATTCTTTGTTTCTTTCTTGTTTTCGCTTACCTTAAACTTTTTCTTCATTTCCATCATTATTTCTTTTTACCTTTTTGTTTGTTTCTTTCTTTACTCTTGTCTATTTTTATTACATTCTTTTTCTTTCTTACCATTATCTATTTTTATTACATCTTTTTCTTTCTTTCTTTCTTTCTTTCTTTCTTTCTTTCTTTCTTTCTTTCTTTAATCTTGTTTATTTTTTACTGTATTTCTTTCTTTCGTTTGTTTTTAGCGTGTAGTTCTCTCCGAATTTTCTTCCTATTTTTGATTCCCTACTTACAATTTCATGATTTTTTTCTCTTTCACTCTTCACGTCTTTCTGTCTTTTCTTCAGTTTTGGTTTCATGTTTCCTCATCTCTCAATCCATCTCTATTTTTTTCATCTAATTTTTCTTTCTTACTCCAATCTGTTTTTTTTTTTTTTTTTTTTTTTGCCATCATTCATACGACTTTTTATCTTTCCATAATAGGGCGTGTTTCTTAAATGGCGGGAAAATCAATAATTTGCTTTTTACTCTACTTTTCATTATTCCTTCGCTATTATTTAAAAAAAAAACTTTCTATTGTTCTTTCTTTCTTTCTTTTTAATCTAATATAAAGAAGTAAGCGCCTGACTTTGGTATTATTCAATATGGCAACTGGATAAGCGTAGCTGTGTCACAAACTGACTGTGCCGATTAATCCATCGGTTTATTTTAATTGAAGATTATAATTAAAGCAAGCATAATGCCAGGTTATTGTTTTAAAAAAGAAATGATGTATCAATGTGGCTTAAATTTTGGTCTTATCAATTGAATTAAAATATGATATTTCGTAATGCGTTCACTGATTTTTACGAACAAGTTTATGAATATTTTCTAGGCTTTTATTTTTTTTATCACAAAAAGAAAACAAAAACAAAAAGTGAACTTTGAATTATATTAATTAAAAAGCAATCTAACATTTAAATTATTATTTAACATTAAAATATTTGTTCTTCTCGTTCATTATTGTTGATATTTGTTAGATATATGTAGTTACCTATTGGTCGTGAGTTTAAACCTTAGAACAGGTGGTAAAATTGGTATAATTTTACCACCTGTTCCAAGGATTAAACTCACAACCACCAGGTAACTGCATATACATACCCAATATTCATTCATTATCGTGGATATTGAAAAAAGTTGCTGATTTCAAATTGTTTTCATTTGGACCTATTTAAAATAACGACCAGCATTCGTATTTATGATTGTTATTGTAATATTTTGTTAAGCCCAAATATTTAACGATGCGATAGGGGAATTTTTACTGATATTTTATTGCCATAGAACTCGCCATGAGCTTACACAGTCATTAACTTAAGAATTAAGATTCATCAGAAAATTGATATAGGAAAACTGGAAATTTTCTATGGGTTAAAACTAGTGATTTTAATTTTGAAAAGGCAAATAGATTGAGGGACATGCTTACCTGATGTTCTAATGGGGCACCTTGAGGCGGTGTAATGGTTATCAAGCTTTGCTCGCTAGAACAATTACGACTGAGTAGTGAGTTCGATCCTCACTGGGTGCCCCCTAATTTCGGCCTTGTGCCACATCTAAGCTACGCTTGGAAAATAACTTGGGCACCTTGAGGTGGTGTAATGGTTAGCAAGTTTGTCTCGCTAGAATAATTACGACTGAGTAGTGAGTTCGATCCTCACTGGGTGCCTCATACTTTCGGCCTTGTGCCACATCTGAGCTACGCTTGGAAAATAACTACCTGATGTTCTAATCGCCTATGAAGAACGGTGTGATAGGCAAATGAGTGAGTCTAAGCAGTCAAGCATACTGTCATATTTCAGGACTTCCGTATTTGTGACAGCAGACAGAAAACCTTGACCTTCGACATTTATTTTTGAGGGAGAGGTCTGAGAATGTCCAAAGATGCTTCCTATATTTCCAATTAATGGCAATTACTTTTCACTTTACGCCATGTCAGGTAACGGTGGTCAGTCTGTACTGATATCTAGGAAGCGTAAAGTGAACTTTTGAAAAGCAGAGTATATACATTTATGTGTCTGTTGATAATCTCTCTTATTAGTTTTCACTTATAGGATTATTTGACGGCATCTATTTTTCTCTTTCAAAACCTCATCAAAGAGAAAGCGTGGACATCATCAAGGAATTAGGTTGGTTGGTTTGTTTTACGGCATATCAGCCTCAATGAGTTATTTAATGCCAACAAGATTTTTATTGCTGGTAATATTCAAAGAGAGAGAAAGAGACAGACAGACAGACAGTGACAGTGAGAGAGAGGGGGGGGAGAGATCTTCAACAGGATTAACATAGGGAAAATAATTTAAATTTTTGGATGAAATTTTTCCTTTTTTAAACATTTATTGACCACGTGAAATTCACAAATAAATACAGTGTAACCCGGATATAAGAGAAACCCGGATATAAGAGAGATTTTCTCTGGTCCCAAATTAGAGCCTGTGTTAATGTATATAAAATAGACCAAACTCGGATATAAGAGAAACCCGGATATAAGAGACTTCTTCTCCGATCCCGACAACTCTCTTATATCCGGGTTACACTGTAGCATAAAATACCGAAATACGACACAAAGATAAAAATAATTAAAAAAAAAATGATCACCCCTTTTAACCGAAGTATTTTATTCTTTTATTTATCTTCCATTCGCACGATGACAAATGTGCTATTGTGACGACATCATATGTATGTGACTGGCACTGGTGTTTAGCGACAAGAGACGTGTTCAGGCTAATACACCAAAGTCGCATTATTTGTTTCTTACTAAACGTGAAATCAGCCGTCATTTCACCAGGAGAAAGTTGGGTTTTTTTTTTGTAGTAATAAATAGAACAAGGTATATGGTCTGTATTAGCTACTTTTATTGTCCCCAGCAGGGGATTTTTGCCGTCTACTTGTCAGAGACGGAGAAAGTAAAGTGAGAGAACCTCTTCAATCTTGCAGACTCATATACTACGATATTTGCGCGCAAGTGAATATAACGAACCTAATGAGAATTGGAACTCGGCTTTCCGATTAACAATTCCGAGCCATTATCCATTACACCACCCGCACATCCAAGCTTACACCACCTGGTATTTCCAAGTGGTCACCCATCTAGGTACTGACCAAGGTCGACGTTGCTTAACTTCGGTGATCGTACCCGTGTTTCAAGGTGATTTGTCCGTAAGCTCTAATATTATTGAGATTATGTCCACGGATAATAAATCTTGATAGGTCTTCTCGTATTCTTCCGATCGTTTCGTTGTATATAAAGCCAGTGCGTAAACACATCTTTGTTTTACTCCTTTTTCTATTTTTGTTTACTTGGTCATTTTCAATCCCCACGCAGGCAGTTTGTTCCCAAGTAGACGTTACTGGTTGTTCTATCTTTCTAATTATAGGTCAAAATTGCCTAATATCCTTCGGCACTTTCTGTTTTAACCGAAGAATGCCCGTTCTAGATGTCGCGTTACAATACTTGGTTGTCTGCCCTTGACCTCAGCCATGATTTATGCACATGCGAACTACTAATACATTCCTTGTTTCTACCAGTCTAGCCTTTCACAGCTAGAACCCGCCAGGCCACGTACACCGAGTCGGCTCATCTTCATTTCCTTTCTATTAAATTCATAAGGAGAATGTTTTATCAGACAACTTGTTCATAAGAACCGCTGAATTGTTGAATAGATTCTCGAGCAGATGCTTCTCCGATCACTACAATCTTAATCTTTTCAAGTTAGAGTCAAAACTCTTCAAGTCTACAGTTATCTATTCTACATATTCTCATAATATTCACCTTTTGCTCCCTTCTTATATTTCCTTAGAACAACCTCATTTAGTTAACCTCTATTTCGAGTAGCCTTTGAGTTTTGTATTGAGTAAGCAATAGCAAAATATATTTTTGATCTTGATATCTGATCTTCACCGGATGGATGCTTTCCCACATGAGGTGAGTTTGATTGGTGCATGCTTAATATGCACGCACCCATCATATTTTTTCCATCTCGGAAATAAAAATTCCCATTTTCGCGCTACAGTTGCCGACCGCTTGATGATTGCATGAAAGCATGAAACTGACAGTAGTGGTCGGTCACTGTGCGCCAGAAATTTAATTCATAACATATATATATATATATATATATATATATATTATGAAATTGGACAAAGCCCGACAATTATTTTAAGACATTTTTATGTTTATACATTCTTTTTATAGATTAAATATTTAAGTAAATGCTCTGTTTATAATAAACAGTATTAATAACATTTACCGACCTGAATGTCCGAGAAATTTTCATAGAAAATATTCGTTCTTCGACAGGAATCGAACCTGTATCCTATACGGAACCGTCATATATATATGCCTTAACCGATTGAGCCACGATTATGAAAATTTCTCGGACATTCAGGCCGGTAATTGTCGGACTTTGTCCATTTCATAAGGTGTGGCGTCATTTGTTTACATTTGGATACGATTTGAGCAGATATGAAAGATTCATAGAAGATTGAAGTTTAAAAGCGGTAATATCGACCTTGCTAACCGAACGATCCTCTGTAGCTCAATGAGTTAAGGCACATCAGGCTATATGACGTTTCCGTATAGGATACAGGTTCAATTCCTATCGGAAGACGAATATTTTCTATGAAAATTTCTCGGACATTCAGGCCGGTAAATGTTATTATTAATACTGTTTATTATAAACAGAGCATTTACTTAAATATTTTATCTATAAAAAGAATGTATAAACATAAAAATGTCTTAAATATATATATATAATATATATATATATATATATAATAAATGTACATTTTTTCACTCCTCTAGCACAACTCTGGGTTTCATGTAGAAATTTTATTATTTTTTATTAATACCAACACTAAGTGTGCAATATTTTATATTCATATATATATATATAATTTTTTTCATAAAATGTAGTCGGTCTGATGAGATGAATATGCTTATATTCATCGAAATAAATTTATTACTGACAATGGATTTTAAAATTTTTTTCCTAATTATTATTATAATTTGCTCTGTATCATACATTTAGCTCTCATTTTGACTATAATATCTCTTTGGAATAATGCCTATGTTTAATAACACATGCCTCAATAATGAATGCTGCCAATATATATATATATATATATAATATATATATATATGCTGAATCATACTGACGAGTGGACAGAACGACTACTAAAAGTTTGATCTACTACTCCGGATTTCGCAGACAAACCTTTGTGTAATTGTTCGGTCCACGCGTCGCGGGAATGATAATACTTCGGATGGCTAGGTAAATTTAGCCCCTCCTACCCATTTCAATATGGTTTTATATTGAGTAAACTACCTTTTTGTGGTTCGGCTCATGTGGTAAAAGAGAAATAGAATACTGAGATGACAGAGGTTAAAATGTAGTAGCATTATCTAACACAGAAATACAATAAAACTGTTTTTTGTTTTATTCGAGTCAAAAGATCATATCTGAAACATTCAAACTAAAAAGCGTTTAAAACTAGACATATACTATTGATTAATATGTTCACGTGGTCATTTGTACACAATTATTACTGAAGATTACCCAGATCGACAAGCATCTGAATATAACCTCTGGGCATGACGACCGAAACGTTGTGAAATAACAGCAAAGATGGGGACAATAGCCCGAATGTAAATAATGGAACTAATCATTATTGCACTAAACAATTCTAACTTGGATAAATGATGAAAAAAATTAAAGTAAAAAGAATTTCCCTTTAAAAACTGGTTCATAAACTCCAGTCTAAATTCCATCCAGTGTCACAATAGGGACTTGGCAGGTACAAATATTAAAAGTTCAAAAATGAAAGACAAAAAATAAGAGTGTCTCGGTTCATTTTCCTGTCATATGTCAACTTTAAGACGTTACTTTGAACAGCTTTACTCCTTTCTTCTATTTAACCAAAATGTATTGTCAGGCTTTAAGCCTGACAATAAATACGCCACATTCCTTGACAGGTTGCTGGGTTCTCTTTGAAGCGAATTTGCAAACACTTGTGCAGTAGTTCCCGTTATAAATTACTATTATTATTATTATTATTATTATTATTATTATTATTAAGTGTTTATACCAGTAGTAATTGCTGGCTTACAATAGAGATTACGTGACAGCAAATTTCTTCAGTACTCTAACGCTCTTCTTAGTATTCTAGTTACTTTCTGTAATACTGTCGTTTGGATAGTCCCGAATTTTCCCCTTGTTTTCCAAATACTCCAGCTTTTTTCCAAGTCTCTTCGTGACCTTTGTCAGTGCTCTGATTACGACTAACATGACTGTCACCTTTCTATTCCACTACTTTCCCATTTCTCTGGCACGTTTAAGGTGGCAGTAACTTCAATCAATACACCAGCACACTTGTTAGTATCCTCGCTATTTTCGATAATACTGTCGTTTGGTTGGTCCCCACTCTTCCTTTGATTTTCAGCTCCTTCTCCAGTGTTTTTCCAAGTCTCTTTGGGATCTTTTTCAGTGCTCTGATAACAACTAGCACGACTGTCGCATTTATACTACACAACTTTCTCAGTTCTCTGGCAAGGCTAAGATACTCATATATCTTTTCACTTTTTGCTTGTTTGCTTGTTTTTGTTTATTTATTGCTTTTTTTTAATATCGCGTCAAACATGACTCTCCACAACTTCCTCAATTCTCTGACAAGGTCAAGATACTTATATATCTTTTCACTTTCTGTTTTATTTTTGTGTGTGTTTTTAATGTCGTGTCTCTTCAAGACGTAGGCGAATGTGTCTCTCCACAACTTCGTCAGTTCTCTGGCAAGGTCAAGATACTTATCTATTTTTTTTCACTTTCTTTCAGATTTATTTCGCCGGAACAACGAAATCAGTTCACTATCTGGCAGGTTCTGGCATTCTTGTTTACAACTACCAGATCTTGTCTTCTAATTTGGATTGAGTGACCCGTTTGAATCTCACAGTACCCGAGGATTTTATGGACTTCATTTCCGAGGACAGATTTTGGTCTATTGCACTTTTACTTTCTATAGTCAAAGTGTAATCGTTCGCCTACTTCCCAGTGGATCACATTTCGCACCCGGCCACGACTCTTCTTGTATTTATATAAACAGGTCTTGTTGGTGTGTGTGTGTGTGTGTGTGTGTTGGGTGGGGGGTCACCCATATCATAGCAGCAGAAATTAGCCTCGTGTTCACGGAGATAAAAGTATACTTGACAGAAAACAAAACGTACACAAATAACAGGGAAAGCATGGTAAATTGTATGTCAATTTCATACAATTTACATTTTTTGCGTGTATTGGTTGTATTTTTTACAATTGTTTTATAGTACATGTGATAAAAGGGAGAATTTACTCCGTAATATGACAAAGCATATCACAGAGATAAGTCGGACACGTGTTGCCCGTACCAAGGTTCGTGGTAAAAAGGTTGAATTTAACATCTTTTGGAGGGACAGCAATGTTGCATGCTGGGAGTGTTTTATTATTTTTATTTTTTATTTAATTTATTTTAAGCAAAGTTTAAATATTATTGTTTTATTTTATTTATAATTTTCATCATTATTATTATTTTATATTTTATTTTTATTTATTTATAACAATAATGTCCCTAATACATAATGATTATCAACCTTATCTTTGTCTACCCAGAAGGAAATGAGATGTAGTTGAGTGAGCTTATGTAATATGTGAATGTCGCAATCTCGTGTTTGTTTTTCTTAATATTATATCTATCAGCCTTCTTCTACAGTTTAATCATAACTTCCTGCGTCTAAACTAAAATGACCGTTGAAAGAGAGACGATATCAAACTCTTGATAAGATTAAGATTAGAGGGAATGCCAGGAAGCAACTGATGGCGATTCTGAGTGAACTCTTTGCGGACAGTAGAAAGGACTTCTAGGCAGTATAGAAGCTAACGGATTGCGTGTTTGTGTGTATTTTAGGTGAAGGTGCGTGTTCAATATGTAAATAGAGAATATAGAAGCATACAAAATCTTGAATCTCTGCTACGGACGTTTATTCCTTTTTGTGGTGACTGCAGTAAAACAAAGTTCTCAATGTATCTTGGGCATGTCCGTTTTCTTTTTGGTTCAAAAGGAGGTTAGGATAAAAAACGGTTAAAATAGTCGAGCTCAAGTCAGCTTTGCGCTGAGTTGGAACGACCATTTCACTTA